GATGCTTACTAAAATTTGAGCATTATTGATGTAGGAAAATATATTTTCTGGGAGAATAGCCTCATACTTATCATTTTTTCCTGAGCTGTATGGTCTAAACACAGGCAGAATCATTTGAGGTCTTATTAAAGAAAAAGTCAAAGAAGGACATGCTAAGAAGACATCAGTAGAACCAACCGTTGGCAAAACTGAAGTGAAAGATATTGGATGTCATCTTCTTATCCTCAGTTAGTAAGGGGCCCACATTATTTGTAAGAGTGGATGGTACAACTTATCTAGGTTCCCTGTCTAGAAATGAGCCCATAATGCAAAGTGATTAGCATTGGATCATTAAAATGAAAAATGTGAGGAAAATGTTCAAAATTTGTCAACACATTTAAAGGATCAAATCTTATGCTGATAAGGACAAACATACATACATACAGATAAGAGACCTGCTTAGAAAACCCATCTCACCAAAATAAGGAAGATAAAACACTCTGATGGAATTTTTAATTTTTTAATTAAAATATTTTTGTTCAATTTTTTAAATGAAGACACACAAATACTCCTGGTCAGCTAACTATGATACCATGTCCTTTCCTGAATCTTACTGCTATGACCATATAGAATAAATTTCCAATAAGAAATTATTGAAAAATTTACAAACCAGAGATCTGAAAAGTTACTGCTTTTGCAGTATTAGTGTTATGATAGCATATATATTTCTTGTTCATAACATCAGAAAAGAAGAGAGGGTGGGGCATTAGGGAAGCAATAAAAGAAAACCATCTATTAAGCTGTTCTTAAGATAGCATAAGCAGTAAAGAGGGTTTTGGTCAGTATGTCCTTGGACCAAGTAGGACAAATAGAATGTCTGCTTGGTATACAGTAAATGCTCAATCAATGATGATTGAATGAAAGAAGAAGAAAAAAAATGAAAGAAGAAATGGAGTGTGCAAAAGATGAGGGTTTAGATCCCTGTGATAGAAAGTTACCACAGGGGTATGCAGATGGAATATAATGATTTCTGCATGACTTTGGAAGAATCTTAGGAAACCTTTAAAAAGCATACATAATTCATGATGCTGTTCTTTAACATATTTAAAGAATTTTATACCTGGAAATGTCTTCATATTATTCACATTTTTCAAGTGTTTACATTCCATAAATTCCTACAATCAATAAAGCATGTACTCTTTATGTTAAAGTGTTTGTGTAGCTTCTGCTATTTGTAGGTTACTCGTGAGTGCATAGAAATGGTAGGATATTCCTTAACATACTACTTGTGCTTGGTGAATAAAGAACTTGACTATACCACTCAACATGTATGCATTATTTCAAAATTAGAAAGGTTTATCATCATTCTAATTTTTTTCCCATTTCTTTTTGATATTCATTTTTAATTTTTACTTGGTCAAATGTTAACATTGGTTCTGATTAAAGAACTAATTAATTTAAATCACTTTTGGTTGATTTGAGTACACTTGCTGAGTTCTAAAGGCAATGAGGAATATAATGCTTTAAAATTTTACATTTGAAACTACAAGTGTGATCTTAAGGGATGCACTGAACTGGGCTCATTAATCTGTTGGTTTGTAAAGGAAGATTTCAAAGTTAATATAGCTGAGAATCATTAAAAAAAGAGGGGAAGTATGAAAAAAGTGGGGTATTTCACATCTTTATTGCTTTCTTAAGTCCAAACTTAATAGGACTTTGAAAAGAGGAGACAAAAAGGGCATAGAAGTCACAGTTCAAAAAACCTGATTCAGATCTTAACTGACACAAGTTATGTGACTGTGACTACGGCACTTAATGTTTCTAAGAGTCAGTTTCCTTACCTGTAAAAGAGAATAATGATTATATGTAATCATAATCAGAATACACACCCATAATATTGTGACTATTAAATAATAGTATGCACATGATTACTCTTTGTAACTGCAAAGAATGATGGTTTCCTACATCATAAACACACTGTCAAATGGTCAAATAGTAATATGCATAACAATGTGTCCACTCTGAAGAAGGAAATAGGATTTTATTCCCACAGAAAGTTTCAACAGGCAAAGCAATGTCTCTTATGCTTCTATTAGTGGATTCAAAATAAATTCGGAACTCTCTATACACTCTATTTCTATGTATAGGTAAATTGTGATTGGAGCTTACTTTACTGTCGATGGTCACATCTATATAGCTTACCTGTTTCTGCAATTTTGACTGATATTTCATACAGCTAAAAAAAGAAAAAATCCAGCATGGCTTTCTTTTAAAATCAAAATGAATGTATCATGTAACTAAACCCAGGATATTCTGATACTATGTAACTCTATTCCTTCTATTACACTATTTTGCCCAAATGTAAGACTCTTTTTCTCTTCTCAGGTTTATATCTGCCTTTCCACCACTATTTCTCTATTTTTCTATTTCTCTATTTCTCTGTTTTTCTTTGTCTTAGCAGACAGAAGCAAAGATGAACTCCTACTTGGTTTTTATCATGATTTAGGGACTGATATAGCATTATAAATGATTAAATTCTTTATTTTTATAGAAATATGATGTCATTATGGTGGTGGGCTCAAGTTTCCTGCCACAAATGTTGGATAATGCTTTATTCTCACATACATTGTTCTAAATAGAAAATGTTCTCAACAGGACATATGAGTTGCTCTTCCAGTAATGGAAGTAAAATCGTTCAATGTGAACTTCATTTCTTGCTTTGTTCCCTTCCTGAACAAGAACTCAAATTCATAATACAGCATAGTGGTTATAACTGTGGTCATAGAGAAGAATGGAATCCACTTGACTTGGTTATGTACAAACCCAAACCTTGGATTTATCAGCTTCCTGCTAAAAACATGTTTTGAGCATATTCTTAAGGTCATGTTCAAAAACAGAACTGTGAAATTTGCTACAATAAGACCGTATACCACAAATGGGTTGAACTGTTTGATAGGAGAAGACTGAGTATATGTGGATTTAGGAATGAGGGATTTAAAAGTCTGAATTATACATGGAGAAACATAATTTCAATAAACTGCGTTTGTAGTGTGAATAGAGGAAGCACCTTCATTAGTTCTAAACTAACTTTTGTCAAACATGTATCTCCTATCCAGATATAGAATCATAGGATTGAACTGGATGTGACCTTAGACATAATAAATTGTCTTACTTTAAAAATGAAGAGAATCAAAACTAAAAGAGGTTAAATGGCTTTCCCATGATAACATGATCAAATAATGGCTGAGCATAAGTTTGAAGTTAGGCCTCCTAATAGTCCTTCCAATGTTCTTTTTGCTATACCACACTGTCTCCTTGCATGCATTTTCTTGTACTTATAACCAAGTCCTTATTTGTTTTAAAGAATGGCTAAAAATTGAGCTATTAATAGCTTTCCATACCTTATATTTAAATAAATAGTGCAAATAGAATGGCTCACTTAGCACGGATTCTTTTTAACTTTTCCTATCAACATAATCTTTTGACCTCATTTTTAAGTTTACACGCTACTGTCACAAATCTTTTACCACATTCTGAAAGCAAATGTTGCATTTTGCTCACTAAAAGACATTTTCAAATAAAAAATGTTTCAAGAGTGCTCAAATGGTACAAATGTAGCCATTGGTTTTCTTTGGACTTTTATTACTCTTCTTATTTATGCTTAAAATGAAAAACATATTAAGGATGAAACTGGTAAGATTTTAATAGTACTCAATCACTATGGAGCAAGCAGAGACAGAGAAAGGGATATAATCACTTAACTATATTGCCTTGCTTTAGTCAATGCCACTTATAACAATCTATCATACAAATATTTCCAGACTATCCATCACAACAAGAATTAAATTATGTAAGATCTCGAGAGGCCTTGAATTTGGAACTTGTTGTTACCAAAGACCTAGCAGTTCTGTAACAGGATTTTCAATCACACCCCTAAATCAACTGCCAATAGAAAAGTAATCTGGTTTATCAAATTTTTTCTTATCATTAAAATCAAATAGTTTTAAACCCAGTTTCCTCTCTGTCCTCAGGAGCATGCCATCTACATCCTATGAAATTGGAAAAGGACAGAAAATTATTCTCTAATTCTGTGGTTAAACCAATATTAGGGTTTGGGAATATAACACAGCGTCTTTCAAATTGAACATATAGACACACCTCTTCCACCACTACAACCATTTTCTGACTTCTTACTAGGAGCCAGATACTGTACTAAGAACTCTACATGAATTAGTTCATTCAATATTATAGTAACCATGTTAGAGATGAGGAAACTGAGACCACTAAGTAGCTTCATGGTCATGCAGCTAGTAAGTCAGATTCCAAAACTTGAGTACTGTAATAATAATCTTTACTAACACAAAGAGCTATAATTTGTAGAGTGTTTACCATGTAGCAGGTTCTGTTCCAAGCACTGCCCACTTATTTTGACTTATTCATCCTTATAATAAACTGATACTGTGGAGAATTTTATTATCCCATATTGTTTTAGATGAAAGACTGAGGCACAGAAAGGTTAAGTAACTTGTTCAAGGTCCCCATAGCTTTTAAGTGTGACCTGGAGCACAGTTACATTTCTTATATTTACAATGCAAACCTATGGAAAACTTCCATGTGTGGGTTTGTGATTGGATGCTCTTTCTTTAAATGATTTTAGAACATATCTTACAACTGACTTTTGTTTAGACTAGGATTACAAAGGAAAAAATGTTTTAAGAATCCAAGCAACAATACTATAAAGGAATTTTCTGACAGCAATTCAGTTCTATCATGGCTCAGCATTATCCTCCATGTTTACTAGAAGATATATTAAAGTCTAATTTTTAGCCATTTTCAAAATTAATATTAATAATTTTAAAACATTTATATATGGACTTATTAAATAATATAAAATATCCCATCCTCACAAAATATTATGAAAATCAAATGAAAAAAATTACTTTTATTGTTCCTTACAAACAAGGTTTATCTATATATTATTTTCCTGTTATGAGGAACAACAATCCTCAAAACATGCCTACCTGCAGAAGCTTCCATCTGGTGTTCAGGTCTTCCAGAGTGGTGAGGTTATATGGTGAGAGCTGAATGCCCAACGTAGTGAGTTGGCGAGCAAGGTCATTGACGTGGCCTACCTTCTCTTTAAGAGGTGCAATTTCTCCTCGAAGTGCCTGTGTGAAACAGTCAGGAGCAAATTGGAAGATAAGAACATTTAAAACAAAAAAACATAGACACCTAGGAACTACAAAATATATCTCATTCTGTTTGGGGTGTAGTCAGTGATGTTTGCTCCATGGTCTGGTCTGGTCTGAATATTTGTGTCCTTCCCCAATTTCATAGGTTGAAGTCTTAAAAATATAATAAAAGGAAATTCTAACCCTCAAGGCAATGGCATTAGGAGGTGGAGTTTTTTGAGAGGTAATTTTTGGGATTAGTGCCCCTATAAAAGAGACCTTCCACTATGTGAGGATGCAAGGAAAAGGTACTATCTATGAGGAACAGGCCCTGACCAGACACTAAATCTGTTGGAGCCTTCATCTTGGACTCCCCAACCTCCAGAACTGTGAGAAATAAATTTCCGTTGTTTAAAAACCACCCAGTCTATGGTATTTTTGTTATTGCATATTGAACAGATTAAGACACTCTATTATGGTGACATTACAACAATAGACATCTGCTAATGGATGATTAATAACTTTGACTTATTGAGCACTTCTTAGGTGCCTAATGCTATGATGAGCTCTATCCACACATGAACTTTCTTTATTCCTATACAACCCTATGAGGCTAGTAGTTTGCTTTTTATACATGAGAAAACGAACTTGCAGAGATTGAACTTTGCCAAAGTCCCATGGATAAAAATTGAGAAAGCTGGGATACATATACAGATTTGTCTCTGGATTGCATATTCTTAACTACTATATCATACACCCCTCCAAAGAAATTGTGGCTTGACAAAGTAACAGGAAAAATACAGTATTGCTAGATTCCAAATTCTACTCATCTCACAACCAGAAATGAATCTCTATTTTTTACAATACAAAGATACACTCGATTTTAAAATATGGCATTCATACTTTGCACCAACTATGTAATAAATTGTTTCATTTAGGAAGTAGGGTATTTTGTCAGTCCTAAGAATGACTTCCTGGTCTCTTGGCATTTTAGTCCTTGTAGCAATGACTTCAGAAGGCTCCCGTGGGGCTTCTCAGCTGTCTGTAAAGCACTAGAGAAGGAGTCTGTGATGTAATGCATCACGACAATCTGTTGAGTAGAAGAACCCTGTGCAGATATGGGGAGGATATTACCATGCATCATATCTACCCCATCAAGATGGCATTTATGGATCTTTAACGTGATGCATGACGTCCAAATGTTCCAATGAGCAATTTCTAAGGAACAAATTCCCTCACTTAGGAGAACAGTTTGTGTAATGTAATGCCTGTGCACAAGGACAGCATCACTTACTTGACTATATGTGCCATTTTGACTTGCTTGATGTGAGCGGGTGTATTTTTTCTGTCTGGTTCACTATGTTGATAAAAACCATTGCTTACTCTGACCTCGGCTATAATCCTCGCACTTCCTCCCACTTCAAATGGAAGGAGCCAGTATATACAATCAAAATAAGAATGGCATTATCATCTCAAATCAACCTGAATACCTTACCACTAAAATGTGGTGTTGTATGGACTATAAGATCCTTATATAGTTTTTAGACAAGGCATTGTGACAATCACTCTGTTGAAGGTATAATCTTAAAAGTGGTCGTTAAAAAATCATGTAACCAGGCCGGGCGCGGTGGCTCACACCTGTAATCCTAGCACTCTGGGAGGCCGAGGCGGGCGGATTGCTCAAGGTCAGGAGTTCAAAACCAGCCTGAGCAAGAGCGAGACCTCGTCTCTACTATAAATAAAAACGAAATTAATTGGCCAACTAATATACATAGAAAAAATTAGCCAGGCATGGTGGTGCATGCCTGTAGTCCCAGCTACTCGGGAGGCTGAGGCAGGAGGATCACTTGAGCCCAGGAGTTTGAGGTTGCTGTGAGCTATGCTGATGCCATGGCACTCACTCTAGCCCAGGCAACAAAGTGAGACTCTGTCTCAAAAAAAAAAAAAAATCATGTAACCTTAACAATATTTGTACCCCCATAATATGAAGAAATAAAATATAAAATAAAATAAGTCTAACAGAAAAAAAAATCATGGGGTTTCTTTGAGGGATGATGAAATATTCTGTTATTAGTGGTGATGGTGGCACAACCGTGTGAATATAATAAACACCACCAAATTGAACACTCTAAAAGGGTAAATTTTACAGTATGTGAATATATATTGATAAAAAGAAATAAACAAGAGCCCCTTCTGACCACACATGTAAAAAATATCATATGTGATGTATTCATCTCTATTCAACTTCATGTCAGTGGAATGTCACTGGAATCAGTCTAAGTTTTATAGAGGTTGATAGTAAGTATTATTATTTCATTTCTTTATGAGTAAATACATGTATTAAAAGAATCAGAATAAGTGCCCATGGAGAAAGGTGGTTTAAATCCACATATATGAATGCATATCTCTAAAAGGAAACGATCCATAATAATTTTGTTTTGCATAATAGAAAGGTTAGAAAACAGATTTCTTAAATGTCAATGGGGAAACCTGGACAAAAACAACGATTACAAAATGAAACCGTTCTCTTCCGGATAATAACATGCATTTCTAGTAACCACAGATAAATATTATGTGAGGGGTTATTGTAAACAGGAACCACTTCAGAAAGGGCAGACTGGCAGGCAGAATCTTTCAATAATGCAGGTGAGCCCTTTGTGTTAATCATCGCCCTTTACCAGCAAGGCTTTCAGCCATTAAGCTGGGTATTCATCCCAGAAAAGTCATATCTAGATTTCAGTTCCTTTTAGGTTACATTATGTACATGTTCAAATGTCTTTTATGAGAATATTCTGATTTTCACCTTCTCCCCCAAAGTTCCGGGCACAGATTTTAAACCTGCATCAGTGATTTAGAGGATGAAGGGGATTCAAATGTAAATTTCAGTACTCATAATTAATGGCAACATTTTTGCTTTCCCTTCTCCTCTTCCTCCTCCTCCCCTCTCCTCCCCCTCCCCCTCCCCCTTCTCCTTCTTCTTCTTAATTTACTTTTCTCCCTTACTCAACACTATAATATCATGGGATCTTGTGGCTTCTTTTTTTTTCTGCTCTTCTCAAGCAATGACAGTCCAAGTTTTCTAAACTGATCTCCACTTAAGTAAGACTCACCAAATTAGCCAAAGTCTTCATGCCCTCTGTGAAACACTGATGGGAGCCTCTAACAGCCTCTAAATAAAATGTTTTGGGTGTCTGTCAGTACTTGTGGCCCGTCTGCTCTCATTAGTTGAGTTGTGAGTTGTCTGTATGGTCTCAGAACCTGTTTTTCCAGTTAGTACTGCAATTACATAATTTAATTACAGATTTCCTAAATCCAAGAAATATTAGTCTGAAGAGAAAAAAGTTATTATTTCTATAAAAAACAGGTCAAATGCTCTGGGAATTTGCTTTGAAAGAAAAAAGAAAATAAATATTGTTGAAGTGGGTATGGGCAACTATAAAATATTAGAAAACAACTCTAAAAATTTAGAAAGATTCTGTATTCATAATGCTTCTCATGTTTCCTGATGAACTTTCTCTACATTAAAGACACTGAAACTGGAAATCAAAAGTTTGTATTAGCAGTGTGATTTATCGAGAACTTTGATTAGTGAATTTACACTCAAAGAAAAAACTTTCATGCAACATAAAAATCTTGGTGGCTACTTTAAATTAAAATAAAATGTTTAAGCCATATTTTTTATGATTCCCTCATTTAATTGACTTTTTCAATTAACTGTTGAATTATAGGTCCTAATTGAGTTGGAAAGAGAGTATCTATTATAAATTTTTACTGCTACTATTACTTTTCTATCACTGCTACTGCTACTAGTACAATCACTAAGAAAAAAAATTCCAAATGTTTAGTTTAATCTGAAAGCTTAAATTTCTGTTGAGATATTTGATAATGGAAGCTTTCATTGGAGAGAAGTAGGTTGATAAAGAGATAATTTGAGACAAAGATTCACTTTCGGGAGGTATTTTGATGGGTCTGAGCAGACTGAAGGACTTTAGCCAGCTAGAAATCATCATGAGGGCACTAAGCACATGAAGATGGAAGAAAGGAGATAACTGCTGATAGAAAAGATGAAAAGAGAAAGGAGGCAGGAGAATGTTCAAGTCAATCTTCACTTTGGCATTTGGCCTGGGTTTTGGTGGTAGCTCCATACTACCCAAGGATGCTGAACTGTGCACTTCACTGCTGCAGGCTAGCAGTGCCCAGAAGTGTACATAACAAGAAGTATGGCCCCCTAATGGGCAGAGTCACAAGACATATGTAAAGGCTGAATACAGGTACTGTCCCATTTAAATAGATGTAATATTGGGTTTGGCTATATTTCACATATTAGAGCTTTTAATATTAACACATAAATTTATGTTTAAATTATTAAATACTATACATAAAATGTCAAAAAGTACAGCTGACTCTGAGTAACATGATGTGCTATTTAAACGACACTGGGATTGCATTAGATTTTATTCTAGTTTGGAAGCAGTAAGTGAGAAAACATTGAAGGGAGCCATTATGCTGTGGGTTTTCTTTGAATTACTTAAACATCTGGAATATGTTCTCCATGAAAGAGCAAACCAAGTCTAATTTTATTATGACTAGTTTCACGCAGGCAGAATTTTCACTTCATTAAATGTTGTCTGATTATAGATATAAAAGTACTGATTTAGAATGATATATAAGTCTGATATGTCAAATTTTCCTTCTTTTTATAAAATTAAATTGCCTGTCAGATCTTTGCTTATCTTCATGTGGTTAAGGATTTGTTCAAATACATATTTAGAATTATAGTCATCAACTATTTTTGTAACAAAAGAAAGGAATTGTCTATGAATAAGAGAACATTATTTTTGAGGGAGCAATTTTGACTTGACAGTTTAGAGATCATCCCCACTGCAAAGCACAGAAGGTCAGTTTGGAAGGCTAGAAAGACTAAGTTGAGAGAATTATACTCTGAGGGCTTCTATTTTCTCTGGGAAATAGAAAGCAACAGACCTGGCATAGCGTGC